CCTCACCTTACCTTTGGACCCTGACGTCACTTCCATGACAACCACAGCTGTCTCCTCTCTGTTGACTGACTCCACTCTCACATCTTTGTCACAGACGCGCCTTTTTCTCCATTTTAACTACGTTTGATAAAGCGGTGAAATGAAGTCGAGGAAGCAACACGTCCTGCTGCTGTGGATGTTGGTCTGTTCCGGGATGACGGAGGCGATCGAGCCCATCAGCACCACCATAGCGGTCGGCATGGCTGCGGCTCTGACCGGCTTCTTAGCCAGCTACCAGAACATTTTGTATTATTTTCACGAGTGCTGTCGGCCGGAGTGGATTTCTTTTAACAAAACAGGTATGTACATGCCACCACGAGCTCTTCACACTTATACAGATGGAAACCTGCTAATTATCAGTTTGCCGTTAGTTTAACTGGTGAACCTGCTCCATTGCAAGCTAGCTATCCAGACACTGAAACGGTACCAACTGACAAAAAGCTAATTGTGGCACTTTTAGCGGATCCATTTCGCATCGTTTAGTCAAACGTTGTTGGTGTTTTTGAACAGAGCCCTGCTGTGTCACGTGTTCATGACGTATACGGAAGTTCCCCGTTGTCAGCGAGAAGCTAGTCTGCAGGTTTAGCGCGGTTTTGCCGTTGTAGTATAGTCGTTTTAGTCCATTAAAACGACTAATGTCGAGCTTTAATTGGTTTCGACGATGAAAACGGCACACTTATATTTGTTGTTACACGTCTTGTCGACAGCCAGTGTACTGGTTAACGCCTTTGATCCGATCACAACATCAGTGATTGTGGGTCTCGGTGCGACTCTGGGAAAGACGATCTACAATTATTTACATGAAAGTTGTGATAAGAAATGGATCGCCTTCAACGCGACAGGTGAGCGTGTGCAACTAGTTTCTGAAGACAAGGTAGTTTCTTTAACTCGTCTAAAGGGACAGTTATTCACAGTAACATACAGTCTGGACGTCAGTGACTTCAGTGGTTTTATTGGCCGTTAAAACCAAAACCACATGGGAGAGTTAGTTAACATGTGAACAGTGTTTGGTGCCTTTAGGCTCCCGTCAGTGTTTCAGGTCTTGTGGTCATTTGAGGTACCGACCACCTCCTCTAACAACGTAACAATAACTAAATAATTCATTATTTTCACTGTAAAGTAATCCGTTGTGTGTGTTTTTATATGACCTCGTAGTCACAACATATTATTTAAAGGTACTCTCCGGTCTTGAATAACCCCCTAAAAACTTGTCAGAATTTATTGAAGTTTGATATTTCTAAGTGTTTTCCATGAAATTATTCCTATCCTGCCTCACAGTGACTTAGATTTGAACTCTACACAGTTGATTCCTCCAGAGTTTGCAGTTCTATCAAGACCTAAACACTGTAAACTACTCCGGGTTACANCAAGTTTATCATAATTGTACAAATATTTAAAAAATACATAAAACATAAAACCTGCAGAAGAAACTGCACTGTCACTATCCAGGGTTCATGACCATATGTGTGGGTTAGAACGTAGATTAACTGGTTCCGGCTCCCTGTCATCATGATGGCCTGATTCAACTTCTGCATTACTACTGATGTTACACCAATCCATCTGTCCGTCTTGTGACCATTTACCTAGCACTCATAAACAGATGCTTAAACTCCTTGGCTTGAGAAAGCAACTCACTCCCACCCATATATACATATAAATATATACATACATATATATACAGTTAAAACCAGAAGTTTACATCCACTGTAAAAAAGACGTAACTTTTTTATTTTCCTCACTGTCTGGCATTAAATCAGACTAAACTTCTCCTGTTTTAGGTCAGTTAGGATTACCTACATTATTTCTATTTGCTAAATGCCAGAAAAATGAGAGAGATAACTTCTAAGAATTTTTTTGTAACTTTCTTCAAAAAGTCAGACGTTTACATACATTTCCTTAGCATTTGGTAGCATTGCCTTTAAACTGTATGACTTGGGCCAAACACCGTCATAAAAAAAGTAGTAGAAAATCCTCTTAAAAGATTCTCTTATACAGTAGATGTAAACTTCTGGTTTCAACTGTATATATAATACTAAATAACTGAAGGAGGAATTGTTTTTGAAATATATCATTTTTAGATTTTTTTTTTCTGGTAAATGCAACTGATTCACACTCATTAGATGAATATAAAATGATATGTTGTATATGCAATGGGGTCTATATTGTTTAGAAAATTACAGTCATCCTCAAATGTATTTATACATTAAAGAATGGGGGGGGGAGACAGCTGTCACTGAAATAAGTTTGAATTGACAAAAGTAATAAAAAATACAAATGTAATGAAAAATAAAGTATTTTTCATTTCATTTTATTTCAAAAATACAAATGTAATGACAATCATGACATTGCTTTTGAATTGTGGTTTAACAGAAATATTTTTTTAAAAAAAACAAAAACAAGCAAACAAGCATGATGGGACCCGTAAACTAATATTTTTGTTGAGCAACCCTTTGAGACAGGTATTTGAATTTTGGCCCACTGCTCAACAGACAAGTGCTCTAATTTGTTGTGTTTTTTATTTATTGTTAATTATTTTATTTATCATTGCTTTTTTCAGTTTCTAGTTATTTGAGTGACTATTGTGAATTTTACTTTTTCTTTAACGGAAGGATATGAATACATTTGAGGACGACAAGATCAGTGTGTGTCAACGGTTCCTGAAAGTAGCAGCAGTCTATTGTACACTCTTATACCATGGTCTGGGTGAATACTCGATTCTGATTGGCTGCAGGGTGTCCATTAACAAGTGATATACGACACCTATAAAGAAGTTCCGGTCAAATA